AAGCCAATAATCTTAATTATTTTTGGGCGTTGTGTTGAGATTCTCAGGGGGTGCACGTGAGCTTCCAACTTATCGTGTTCATGTTATGCATTATGAGCACAAATTCACCTCCTTCAGATTTCCTTGGCGTGCCTGTCCATCCTGTCGTGAAAACTACTCCGTTGTTTTGAAACTATCAAGAAATTTCACCGCTGTCCAGAGTTATCGACACAAATATTGACGTATAAATAACATACATACTGTCATTGAATACCCAAGTGAAAATATAGTTTCAGGAGAGATTGAGATCTGATGGGGATTCGGTGGTCATATTGGACTGATCTCTAGTCTGACTCGAGATTCATCGATCTACAATTACTCCGATCATATCATATCACTTCAGACTTATCGGGTCGAAATATCGGGCGAATTATATAAATGCTTTTTAATTTTGAACTTCACTTTGGAAGAATGCGCGTGTCCTTTAGAAAAAATCGACAATATGACCGATAATTCTGCAGGTCGGAAAAATACTACTTAAAAAAACGGTCATCTGACAATTCTGGCGGAAATTATTGCCATTGCAATTTGGATTCAACGCACGTCAATGGGTGGTAGAATAAATTGCTCCATGGGGAATTAATATTTTTTTGTGTTATCCAATTTTTTTTCCATTTTTTTTTTGGTTTTGTACAGAGAAATTGCGGTAATACTCCCCTGATATTGATAGTCAACTTTGAATTGCAAACACCAATAATTTAAATTATTTAAATTTTCCATTGTATTCACATAAATACTTATTGCTTAATTAAATGACAATCCGTATCCTGTCAAGAGTCGACACCCTCCATTGTCCATCGATTTTTCTCAGTTATTTTTTTTTCTTGTTCTGTTTTGTTGAAACAAAAGTTCCAGGAAAAAGTTCATGAAGATTGTGCAGTTAATATATTTGTTGTCACATTCGAAATTCCAGAACCTTCGGTAATCTTTACGATTGAGAAATCGTGAGGACACGTGGAGTAGAAAATAAATAGTGATAAAATATTCTTTACAATTACTTCCGTATTACTGTAGACTTTACTTATTGAAGAGTGCCAGCTTTCGTACATTGCATTGCACAATTCCGTTCCGAACGTTGCAAATCGTAAGCCATACCTTGTGAATACACCCAAGTGTTTGAAACCAGGTTTTTCTTTTCCAATAGATTTTTCCTTGTCCAACGATGACCAATTCATTGTGCTTCATCATATTGTTATTCATCATTGCCATTCACGGTAAGTGTAAAACTGATGGTATATTGATCCGTATTAATAATAAGGAATAACCCAATTATTATCTCATTAATTGATTGCTGCTTAGATGTCAAAAGTTTAAACAGAGGTAGAGCGGCAAATATTGGTCAATTTCCGTACGTTGTGTCTATATGGAATGAGAATCATCACCACTGCAGTGGTCTCATCTACGATACAACTCATGTTATCACACCAGGCCACTGTGTGAATGGAACTTCAATTGATAAGCTTAATGTACTTGTTGGAGTTGTTAATTTTGAATATGATGAAAAAACATGGCATGCTGTTCAATCATATGTCATTCATCCGTCATACCGAAGTATAGATTTTCCGCACTACGAGGATGGAGTCATCGTTGATGATATTGCTGTCATAATTGTAAGCATTTAACTTGGATAATTTTTATTTCTTTGGCATGGTCTCGATATTTTGAGACAGCTTGCGTAAATTATAAATTCCGGAATTTTTCACCATTATTAATAATCACTGTTTTTCTCATTCTTGCAAAAAAATAGGTGGATAAGCCTTTCATCTTCAATAATCGTGTTGTTCCAGCGCCGATCAGTTCAAACATATCAGAGCTAGCCCGTGAATTTCATCCTGATAGCGATACTGATAGTCAGATTGATATGCGTAGTGATAGTGATGATAGCGGTACAAGTTTTTCGCGTTCCTACTGGCCTCAGGATTATACAATGGTCGGATGGGATTCCCGCCTGGAAAATGGTATACAAGTACTTAATTTACAGTACGAAAATGTCGCCGTTTATCGACCATATGAGTGTCTGGATAAGTACGATTATCTGTCTGCATTTGAACTATGTGCTGGCGACTTAAGCGAAAAGGCCTTTTCATCCCCGGTGAGAACAATTATCTCGATTGAATAATCTTTTTTTTTAGGGTACTAATTATGATTTGATTTACCAGGGAGACAGTGGTACACCGATTGTCTTTGATGACAAAGTCATCGCCATGGTAACAGGTGGTCCTCATGTACCGGATGGCACCTTTGTGACGATCATTCTCAAAATATCCCCGTATTTTTCTTTCATTCAGGGGGTTGCGAGTACAAATCAGTAATCGCATTTTCGTATCTATCCTCACTGGACTATGAAATGGAAGAGAGATGGAATAAATTTAGCTAAAGTCAATTAATCATTTCTCAATTAATTAATCCAGCGAAGTTAATTGACATTATTAATAATGTCATATCTTCCTCATTCTAAAAAAATTAAATAAAAATTGTACTTCGCACAGGCTGTCGGAAAAAAATTATTCTGTTCCTTTCCTTCTTTTAAAAAAGTCTTCACTTTTGCGCGCTCATTATCTTTTGATTATCCTCAGGTGTAATTGCTTTTTCCTTGTGTGATTTTTTGAGAGGAAAATTCATTAGTCAAATTCAAATTGATATATTCATCGTCACATTCTCGGCTCGTTAATTAGTGCATCGGTCATCAGTTGAGGCATTTTTATCGGACATTGTAGGAGACCGCAGGTTTGTAATGCCTACCATCACATTTGCGTTGCAAGAGCAGGCGAGTTATTGATTATGATCAAAATTCGATGACCTCGAGTTTCCCGCTAATGATATAACTTCTCGTGTACCCATAGACTCCCCAGTATGAGCAAAAAATCTCGAAAACCATTGGAACAATCATGCTCGTCTCATTAATCAATTCGATCTATATCTCAAAAGGAAAAACTCATAGTTGTCAGTCTTTAGATATAGTATAACTGATGTAAAATTGTATTCACGATTATGTACGGATTTTAAATATTTCTTTTTAATCCTGCAAGTAAAAATTTTAAATTTAATTTTCCGTTTATTGTCGATTCATGGTGAATCTTGAAACATTATATTCTATACGTTTCAGTCAATTTTCTCCTTAAGCACCAATTGCATCAACAAAACAACCTTATTAAACGGCATTCGGTAAAAATTTTAGTGTAAATTCCGTGTCCCTTACAACTTGATATATTTAACACCACTGCATTCACATCCTGAGTCTTCGAAAGCTACCGGTGAAATTGCCAATCGGTTTTCGCGGCCAAGCAAAATAAGATTACTCAGAAAATAAAAGGGTACCGGCTGAGCCCATGAAACTATCGTTGTTAAATTGAAGTCTTCCCCTTCGTGTCCCTGGTACGAGCCAAACGATTCGACAAAATGAAATAACCATGTAATACGATAGTTACAGAATGTTGCAACCACGTTCGCCCATAGCTTTTTATACCCCTAGAATTATGGTACCATATTGTTCTATCTATCGACGAAATTATTTATTGATATTTCGAACTTAATGTTGCTTGACTTAATTTTACGTGAACGTCGATAACTGCATGCCAAATTTTGAATGGATATCTCAAGTAAGATGGACATAAAAAAAATGCCTCTGCGAGAGAAAAGGACGTGGCGAATGATAAGAAAATGGAGGTGAGTATTACTAGTGAAGGCTATAGAAACACTGAAGACTAATGGGTACTCTCACGAAAAAAAAGTAATAGAAATTGATTAAAAGGGAAGAGAAATGATTTGAAGAAAAAAAAGGATCAAAATGAAAAGTGCAATCCAGGTACTATTTATTTACGCTTACCCATCATTCTCAGGGCGTCAAAAAAAAAATCAATAGATCACGTCGTCCCCGTCGAAAAATTGAAGTAATAGCAAGCAATACTAATAATAAACATGCAGAGGAGAGGTTCAACAACAGACGCCTATTATAAAACCCATTCATTCGGAAGTCCGCAATCAATAAATTGGTGTCGAGAAAATAATGAAAGCTCCGTTCAATAGAACGTGGGAAGTCGATTGGTTTTTGTTGTTTTTTTTTTTCGAAAATGACCATTTTGTTCCCACCTCCACTACTGATTTTCAAAAATGGAGTTTGTCACAAACAGCTAGCCACTGGCCATTGCCCGAGAGCCTTGCGCCTGGTATATGCATATAATAAATAATATTTTGATTGCAGAATACAGAGAATAGAAGAAAAAAAAACAAACAAAAAAACAGGAATAAATGAATAAGCATTTGGATAACTGGTATGCTTTAGTGGTAGGGGGAAAATTGTTTATCATTATTCTGGATGAAATAAGTATGAGATAATTTGATTATTTTATAATTAAAAAAAAAATCGGAGTACTTGGTGAATTTTTTTACTGTACCCGCAGTATTGAGTTAAATCCGCATCAACATATACCAACTACATCCATTTGTCTTGTCCGATTTCTTTTGTAATTCTTCCACAGCGGAGTCACCGATGTAGAGCTATCTATCCATGATTTATGGAATACAACATCCTGGGTTACAGCTTCTATTGTATTCTGCATTCCAGAACGAGTGAGAATGAAATAAATTGAGAGTTGTGCAGGTGCGATCACGCACAAGCCACCAATCAGAAAATATGTGAAGGCCCGTGTGAAAAATAAAAACAACGATTCAATTTGTTTCCCGTATTTCCAGATAGTTCAGTGGACAGTGTTTTTTCATGCTTCAGCATGGATTTCGGGGGTTATCGGTGTGCGAATAGACATCTGAAACGGTTTAACAGAGTGAGAATTATATAATTCCTCAGGATAAACCGAGTGTTTCGAAACTGGGCAATATTTCAGGAAAGTTATGTTGCGCAGTAACCTGCGCATGCAGTTTGGTATTTATAATATTAAATAATTCGAGCAGAATTGACATTTAGAGAATTCCACCCATGCGAATCGTAAAATTTCCTACATGAACTACAGTTTTGCCTGCAATTTCATTTTACGGGCTTGAACCGTTAATTTTTTAATAGTCAATGCTCAGGATATAACTAAGCCTTATCCGGTGATATTTCTTTCATATACATTATTATTTCTCATCAACCAGATATTCTTTGTGATCAATCAAAGCGAATGTTCTCATGAAATTAATTTTTTTGGCTGAAGTGTGAGAATGGATTAATGCAAAGACTGACACAGCCCAGACAAACGATTTTATTTCTCATTAATCGTTAAAAATCCCATTTGGGTGTGTTTCAACAATTTTTATTATGCCAAATATTCTACCTAATCTCTTAATTATATTTGCATAATTCCCAAAATCCTTTGTCACAGAATATTACCCAAATCAAAATATCACGGCCTACATTGTGCTAATCTCTCCGAAAGCTCATCTCCACCCAATTGCTTTGAAAAATGAAAGCATAAAAAGAACGACAGAGGAAAAATCACATGGGAAAAGCCAACGGTTCAGAGATAAAACACCGCCAGGAGATTCTTACTTTGTTTTCACAGCACTACGTATAATGTAAATTCTCATTGTCCATATAGTTCTCGGTGAACATTCTCGGTGAATATGAGGATAGCTTTGAATATGTCTGATACCCCAACGCCTATAGGTATTATCGTCGGCATGGAGAATTCAAGTGATCTGTGTCACACGTCCGTTGATGGAATTCCAAAAGGAATATTCAATTGCCAGTTAAATATTCGACATTCCCACCGTCAAATTTTCTCCATAAATGGACGTCTGAGATCCTTGTAGATATTGGGAAATTATAGGGAATCTAATTTAGAGGGATAATGGAAGAATCTGCAGAAGGTGCTCATAGCGAGAGAAAGTAGAGTAAACGGCTAATAGTCAGACATTGAGGGAACGCTAGATATATGCATAAGGTGAATAACCATAAGTACATCAGAAAAATAATCTAATTTATTTTCAAATGGCATGCTAAATGTTCTTAATCCGCTTGATTCAATTTCGAGATTCGTTAATACAAATAAAATGTGAAAACGGGAATTTTTTTTGCGTCAATCCGATCGACAATTTATAAGAAAACTAAAAAAACCGGTAATTGTTGTTAAAAGGGGGCAGAACATCCAGAAAGCTACGGAAATTCTTCATTCCCTCTACATTATTTAACATAAACGGAACTTTCCGAGTGCAGACACTTTGAAACATCTTGCGTGGCTCAAGATATCTTGAGCAGACTAATTGGGATTTTTATTCCGTGGTGAAAGGATTATAATTTGAGGATTGTTCACGTATTTAGAGTCGCTGAAAAGGGAGATGTAATGGGAGCGTATTGCACTACAATTTCGCGCTGCCTAGCTCTCGAAAGGTGGAAATTTAAACTACATTTGAGTGCCCTGAAGATTCAGAATCTCTCTGAATCCCCAAATGCAATTGACGGTATATATTTGAGAATACTCGGTGGTATGTAATGCCACCAATAAGGGGTTAGCATTTATCTTCTCAGTTAAATCCTCTCAATACTCTTCGTATTACATTTCCATGCAAAATGTGAATATCTTTGAAGCCACGAGGGTTGAATAAGCTGATGGAGCTGAAAAATCTCGTTGAGAAAAAGGTAAAGAAGAGAGAATGCCACTATTAAGTGATATGAAGAAGTTCCCGTTGGCTCTTCCGTTCATTTTTTTTTAACTACAATAATAATATAATTCTAAAAGTTCAATGACAATTAATTAATAAAAATTCACAGTTTTTTGAGTTTTCTAACAAATAGTAAATTTATAAATTGTGTTACTGTTAAAAATCACTTGACCTTCAATTAGGATTTCGTACCGGCTCCCATCTGTTTTCTGGGTAGGTTTAAAATTTTATAACTATTAGTTGTAGATATTTTCACTTCACGGTGGCAAGCTCCCGACATAACGAAAATTCCTGGATTAAGGGTAAGCCACTGGCTAAAATTTATGGCTGACGGTTTTATCGGTAATTTTTTTTTTACCTGGGATTTAATTTCACCCATAAAGTGATAAGCAATTTGGGGGTTTAAATGTTTAAATTAATTTAAATTTGTGAAAAATCGATATTTTCAATTGTTATTTGATTTTTTTAACTGTTGATTCATGATATGCCCGATGTTTATATGACTAAAGAAATTTTAATTATTCCATAAACTTCGGAACGCCGGATATTTCTCTATAGACCCATGACTTTTAAAAATGAAAACCGTAAATTGCTTATTCTTTGAAATGTCTTCCAATCCCGTTGCGACGTTGTCTTCAGGAACATCTTCTCTTCGATCGTTATCAACACAGAGATAAGCGTGTATGAGAATCAGGAAAAAAAAAATACATAACGGTACAATATAACTAAAAAAACGAGAGACTCGCGAATAGTAGGATACGCCGTGAAAGAACAAGGCCCCGGGGTCGAATTGAACAATGGAGAAAAGAACGTCTGGGTAACAGGAAAAAGAGGAAAAGGATGGGTTAATTGTGGTAAGGAGCTTAGTTCGCAGGGGATACAGAAAAGTTAGTCCTCAGCTGGAACGAACTCCCGGGTTGACCCGTGTATCCAAAAAAAAAGGGGGCGCGGACTTAAGTTTATTAGGCAACTTTCCGTTGACTGAAAGCGACTTTTTATCGCGAGCGAAAAAAGTGAACAAGATTACGAGATCTCGTTTCATCACCACCTCTTTCACACAAATCGTATAATCCCTTAATTCACGAAACATTAAACTCGTTGGATGTCTCTGGTAAGAAGGATCGAGTGGATTTTTTTTATTGAATTATACGAGTCAATTCAAACACGATAAAAGAGTTATAATCTTAATACAATCCTTGAACGTATCTGCATCCGGAGGATCATAAAAATTATTATCCCGAAAAGTGGTTTCACGCTAGAATAACTATTCAGTACTCGCGAGCTAAAGGGAGGCTTCGTGGTTCATTGAATTATCGGAATTCGTTATGGAAATATGGGATACGAATTAAGGAAGAGACTCCATATGCAAGAGATTATTTTCACAAAAATTTCTCTGTTCGTTTTTTTAATTCGCAATTTGATTAATTAATCGGCGGCTCATGATGATCTGTTATCCAAGGCTAGTGGTGAAAATAGCTATTCCAAACATCATCGACAGATTTTGAAAACGGATGAGTTGAAATAGAATATCTTTTGTGTACTAACCTGTGGTATCCTGAAGAGACGCAAAAGATTCGCCACCTGGATCGACGTAACCGAGCTAGCAGCTCCAACTACTCCACTGATGACTTTGCGAACAGCTGTTTTGTTGCAGTGATATTCCGCCCCATCGATATTACTGATGGATCCTACAAAACAGCGGATAAGGATCCCAATTAATTCAGCGGAGGTCAAGATGTGCTCAACACTCCTGATAAAATAACAAAGGTATTTATTCTCATTGGTCGAGAGAATTTGGTGAATGCCTGAGCTGTAGACGTACAATTCATTGGGAATATTCGAGAAATTTAATTGGAGAAATAATAGAGATAGGTCATGATGAGCTGACGTTGTTCGAACCAATGGTGAAGTATAAAAGCTCGTGTTAATGGCGGTAATGGCTTCCGACTCGCAGTTGCTTTTTTTTATTGTTTTATTTACAATAGCTCAAAGTTATCAACGTAATTTTTTTTCTATTCAGTTCGTTTTTTTTTTATACAGGGATCACTCGATCTCTGCGTGTCTCCCAATCTGCGGTATGTTTTTGATGAGATTTTATATTCACCCCGCGATATCTCTCAACTAGGTAATGAGCCAATCGATACAATGTGAGCCCCAAGCTATTGTGAAAATGGGATACAAGCCATCCTAGCTGCAGTCCAAATTATACACAATACTATGTTCGGTACGTCCTGCTGCAAAAAGCAATAATATGGTTTTTCAGAATGTTCTATAGATCCCTATAAATAATGAGAGGTAAGAATTTATTGGATTTCAAATTTCTGTGGGATTAAAAATGTCTTTTTGATGTGCGATACCGAAAGTCGAAAGCCTTATCCCTCAGTACCCCTCAAATCCGAGAAAGATTATTTCTGTTTTATTTTTTCCATTTTGTGGAATAATTAATTAACAGAGAGATTATTCGTAATTTACAAGGAATAGAAACATTTATTACCGGAATTGTCATGAATTAAAGATAATGAAGGTCTTGGCAAAAACTTGATCGTTCAGAAAATAATGAAGTTTTTGAAATAGAATGGAACTTGTCATCTTTTATTCAGTATATTTCTTGGGTAAATCCATCGGGATATATTCGCAATGATTGAAAGACAGGAACACAGCCATTTTTTACCTTCACTTTCCTTTCATCATGATTTTCTCTTGTCGTTACTACTGTTTCCCTCTGTCTTTTTGTATCTCTTGGTTCTGTCGATCGATGTACAGGAGCCTCCGGCATATTTTTATTGACACTCACTCCCCATATTCATCATATACTTTTATGTACATTTCAGTAAATGCGTGCATGTGACAGATAAAGTTACCACCAGCCTTGGCAGCGGAACAAGGCAGATCATACAGAGGTGAAATGAACATTAATATGATAATGATTATAGGAAGTACTTTTGCAGTAAATTTCGAATTGATATTCGCATTTTTGAGGTCACTACGGATGGAAAATGGTTCGGAGGTAAAAAAAAATATCTCGATAGACTAGTTATATCTCGATTGAGATGGAGGACACCAAGATGAATAGTTAAATAATTAAAAAAAAATGAAATCCATCGGATGTCCTTTTAGATATTTGTGGAAAACCGTAAAAAAGGAAATTGCTATTTTTGAAAAATCTAATGGAAGGATTTAAATGGACTATCGTAATTCTGTTCATTGGCATTAAAATAATCCACCGTACAACAGCTTCTATTTATCCTCGTAACAAATTGAAGTTTCAATCAATTGCCAGAGCGGTAATGCCCTAACGAGCTAATTATTCTCAGAAGGTTCGGCTATTCAAACTCTTTCACTGCCAAATGGCAAAACAAATCTTGGCTTTGAGTACATTCCGTTCTACTCAATATAGATGTACTCTCCGACCTGTTTTTATTTTTTCTCCCTCTGACTAATGCCATGAATCCTCCATGCATGGAAATCCGGCAGTTTACTCGGCAGTACAGTAACTATAGTTATTTGCAGAACAGCTCGTATTTCACTATTTTGTATTCTGGAACGAAAATCTTGTCCGAATATCCCCGGAGAATTTATGATATTTATCATGGGCTATCTAGTCAAGTTGTCAGTATTCTTCGGGTATTTTGACTAATGGCAGTTTATAATCACGATAATATAACATCATTTAATATAACTTCAATTAAAATGATTTTTTAATCAGTAATATTATTTTTTTTCATATTTTTTTAATCCAAGTTTCTATAAATATAATAATATTCATCTGTCGTTTTTTTATATCACGATTCATTAACATTAATGAAATTAAAAAGAAAAATGTTGAATTGTACACTTCAACACTAAATTCAAAGTTTTTTCATAATTTTCCATGGAAGTATTTAATTATAATAAAATCAAATCGGGGACAGTAAAATATCAGAAGATTCCAGAATTAATATTCGGACAATCTACAATGATAGATGATATAAGGTGATATTCATATCTAGTGTTTGAAGTTGAGATGATATAGTGTGAGTTTTCCAGTGATATTGTCTTTTCCTTGCGGTGAAAAAATACTTAAATTCATCTCAGATTTAATATTGTTTTTTCTGCCACCAGATTACGAGATTTACAACCCAGTTTATCACCTTCCCCTGCTCCATTTTCTCCTCATAACATTAACCCTGTATTTTCCGACTTCTTCATGTCACAAGCACAGAAAAATAGTTAGAGTTAGTGAGAGGTCCATTGTCGCACGGATAAGAGACTATTTCCACAGGTACTCTCAAGAAACTAGAGTTTTGTACCCTTGTCTCTGCGAGTAAGGCCAGAGGCTAGGCTGTGAATCGGTGAAACAGTAAGGCTTCCTCAGCTAGAACTTTATGATAATCTTCTGGAAAGAAGCGTGAGATGAAATATAAAGAAGAAAACAAAAAAAAATATTCTAGGGAAAAAATGAGCGGAAAGAATCAGCTTCGCAAAATATAAATAGAGTAAAAAGCGGATGGAATTATAAATGAGTCTTCAAATATTAATTCTTGCAGAATCTTTAAGTCAATGCCTCTTCTATTATCTATTGTAATTTCCAGAGCACACATTCATTACATTCAATGTTCTAATGTATTTTGATTATTTCCCAGTCGTCAAATGGGACTTCTCGGGGAATAGTCAGAAAAAATCGAGGGAAGCAGTAAATATGCGAAAAAAAAATATATTACACGCACATCTATTTCAGTCCAAAATGCAATTTGTTATGTAGATTTCACATATAATTATTACAATTACATTTTTTCCGTGAAGGATGACCCCAGAGCACTGATCGACAGATCAACTCTAAAGTTATTGACATGAGCCCAGAAAAAAAAAACAAAGAGAAAAAAGCGTTTGCGACCTGTGATTGAGACACGATTAAAAGTCCCCATAATACTCCATTGTGTGTTCGAGTCTTTCCGTCAAAGAAGGCATTGCAGTTCAGGCAGATAAATCCATAGTCTACTCAGGAGTGTCGATAGGACTGGAGGCTGTGGGTTTCCAAGGAAAATCCGAGGAAAGTCCCGGAAATCATCCCGAGACATCCCCCAAGAGTCCCCGAGGAGTCCACCCAAGATCCCAGCGGATATTTGCAGCGTTGTGAGAACAAGTTGATTTTTCTTTTTCTCAGACCTAATTTTCACGATACTATTTTCCTTCGACGGTGAGAGCTCACGATTTCTTATTTCAGGTTTTCATAATTATTGTTGGTTTTTTTTTAGTCTATTGAATATTATTGACTGGAATTTAATGTTTTTAATGTAGTCTAGCTTCTGTCCTTTCTCGGAATTGTTTTCGAAATTATTTTTACTCCCATCCCATTCATGATAATTCATTCAGGGTGATGAAATAATCAGTCCACCGAAATAAGAACGTGAAACAGAAAACGAAATATCAAAATCACTGAAACGAAATAATGGTGCAGAAAAAAAAGAACTTGAACAAAACTTTTTCACAGTGGAGAGTTGATGTCTGTTAATCCCTCATGGCCATTAGGCCCTGAGGACTCTGTTCGTTTGAACAGTTATATCGTATCCTTTGTTCTAACATTTTTTTTATCACTTCGTAGGAGTGGAAACTTTAATCGTCATCTTGAGTAATGCTTAACGAGATAACTCGGCAGCACTTAAATAAGAAAAATAAGAGAACAAACTTGAAGGTGAATGTAGTTCAGGGCATAATTTCTGGGCAGGCGGACTGAAGAATCCAATTAAATTCGCCGTTTGAATTGATTTTTCATGCGATTTTTCAACCGGAATAATTTTCGAATGAATCAAGAAAGGGCAGCATAAAGGAAACAATAACTGCGCCATATAAATTTTAAATGGGTTGAAGAATCAGCTATAATATCCAGTTATAATAATATATAAGTTCAATATATAATATTGAAACTTTATTTTTAAATGAATAAAAATGGCAGGCTAAGCTGAAGTTTTGAAAAAACCCAAATGTTTCGCAACAAATTCCAACTTCTCGAATTTAAAATTCAGAATTTTTTATTTCCTCGGAAAAACCTCGTTTTTATTTTACACCTATAAATTTCTCGGGCTAGGTTTTCTCGAGACTGTCTGTTGTATAATAAACTTCGGAGTATAACACTGGGCATAACTCTAGGTTCATGCAAAAAAAAAAGCGAGAAGAGGGCGAGACTGCAAAATTTTCATCCATCAAGAGTTGCTTTCGAGTTTACTATGTATCGGGATCAGACACCTTCCCCTTTAAAAAAAACCTATTAGGATGAACTATTGTCATGAGCACGCAAAAATTTATAGTTCCAAGATGAAACATCACTCTCTGAATAATAATGTTCCCATTCCCATTGAACATAGTCCCCATTTTTTATAATGATTGAAGATTTTCCTAGAAAGAACTTTATATTTTATTAAAACATTACAGGAAAAAATATGAATATAACATCCACCAATTGTATATGTTTTTTCAATTTATAAATAAATAAAAAATATAACTTTTTAGTTTTCTTAAAGGTCAGTTATCATCCCTCCTAGTTAACTTTAATAAATTTAAATAAAAAAAATCTTCTCTCTAGAGATTAATATAAAAAATCGTCGGTGGAAATTTCAAAAAAGAATTTCCACCAGGTTTTTATTCACCACACGAAATCTGTCTCACTGAAAAACGAAAAAAATATAGTAGAAGATAGTTCTGTCCCGCTGGC